GTAAGGTTTTACATGTACAGTACTTGATTGAATATGCCCATCATAGTTGTGGGGATAACCAACTTGGAGACCGTTGCTAATGAATAATAGAATGTTGCAAATGTTGCAGTGTAAGCCTCTACTTTTTCTGAAGTAACGTTAAATAAATTCGAAGAGCTCTCTACATTATAGGCAGTCTCGACCACATGCTTTTTGAGATTGATATAATAAAAATTATTATTATGCTCTATTCGCGTTAGCATCAGTGAGCTTATAAAGCTCACATATAGCCTTCGCTTAAGCCGCAAGAAGGAGCAAGTGAGCGCGAGGAAGCGCAATGCACACAGAGCGTCAAAACAAAACAAAAAAAACAGAAAAAAAGAGACAAGCTGCAAGAAGGAGCAAGTGAATGCGAGGAAGCACAGTGCACATCAAGCATCACTAGTTTGGAGTTGACAGGAGGGCATGCACATCGAAACCACGCCTTGTCAACGACCCGTTCTTTCTCAGTTTTAACGACCACACTCAGCCAAGAACAAAACAACAACGAAGCACAACGACACACCAACGCTGATGTGGCTTCGCAAATCCCGTACCGTGCACGCAGGCACTGGGTTGCAACAGAAAAAAGACGCGCTGCAAGCGTGCCAAGCAGCGAGTGAGTACAGAACGCGTACTAATGCCAGTCATGGCAACGGAAGATAAAATTATGGAGATCGACCCGCGCATGGTTCGATCGAGAGCAGAGTACGAAAAAGGCACACATTCAAACTGTGAAGAAGCAGAAGAGGAAAAACGAAAATGAACACTTGTGTCGTGAAGTGCTTCTGTCCAAGGGTGCTCGCACCCGACGGGGTGACAGCGCCCCTAGTCAGACAAATACAAGGCAAACGAAATAGAAATTAGCTGAGTCACAGCGCGGGACTCCGAAACGAAAACCGGTGAGTATGTAAATATTAATTGTTCGTACCTGCTGTACAACGTAACAATTGCTCAAATTCATAAAGTAATTTCAAACTAGCACTCGTAGAATTGTAGTGCGAATGTGCCACTCGATTATAGTAACAACGACAAAGAGATACTCTTCTAAACATTTCTCTCCCTTCTCACTGTGCCGAAATTCACAGTGACCAAAAAATTCGAAATTGATTATTGTTCTGAAATAGGCAAACAAGGAGCTACTCACAGAACAGCTTACAAAGACGCACGATTGGGCGGGTGTAGGTCTTGTCGCCCACCTTGACCTTCACAACTCGCACGTGTCCGTCTGGACCAGGGTGCACTTCGGTGACGCGACCCATTGGCCAAATGCCCCGTGGGTTGTCTTGGGATGTCACTAGAACGATGTCGTCGACCTTGAGGTCTGTCTCGGCCGTCCTCCACTTGAGTCGCCGGTTCAGCTCTGGCACGACTTCCTGCATCCATCTCCGCCAAAAGTGCAGCACGAGTTCTTGCACTACACGCCAGCGTTGCCGAGGGTTGAACTCGCTCTCGTCCACTCCTGCAGGTGCGAACCGAGTACCGATTTGGCCATACATGAAATGATTGGGCGTTAGCGGAGTTGGGTCACGACCATCTGCCGACACGTAGGACAGTGGCCGTGAGTTCATGAGCGCCTCCGCGCCGACGATAGCAGACAATAGCTCCTCGTCTGTGACCTCCGCGTTCTTCAGAATCGCCGAGATAGCACGCTTTGCCGATTTCACTAACGCCTCATGCACTCCGCCGAAATGTGGTGCTGCTGGAGGGTTGAAACGCCAGCTAGTCTGCTGATCCGCTGTCTGCCGCTGAATCGCCTCTGCATCAAGCTGCTTGACTAGCTGAGCAAGCTCATTGGTGGCGCCGACGAAATTCGTGCCATTGTCGGAGATGACGTCGATCGGTACTCCCCGTCGATTGGTGAAGCGTACGTACGCCTGCAGAAATGAGTCCGTTGTCAACGCGTATGACAGCTCGAGATGCACTGCTCTCGTCTGCAAGCAGGTGAACAAGCACAGGTACCGCTTGTGTTGTGTCTTGCCGCGACCCTGCTTCGTCATAAACGGTCCGGCGTAGTCTACAGAGACTCGGCCGAATGCGCGTAGCGGCAGGCTGACTCGGACCTTAGGTAGTGGCGCCATCACCTGCATTGCCGGCTTCGTACGGTTCCGGGCACACCTCGCACACTTGGCTTCCCAAGCTCGCACCTCTTCGCGGCCAGCGACGATCCAGTAGCGCGACGAGAGTTCGGCTAGCGTATGGCTGACACCGAACGCGTGATATCCTCGTTCGTGACATGCCTTGACAATCAGCTGTGTCACATGATCTCCTCGTGGTAGGACGATCGGATTGCGTTGTTCTGCAGTCAAGAAGTCTGCATGCTGTAGTCGACCTCCGACGCGTAGCAGGCCGGCGTCATCAATCATCGGCTTGAGCGAGACTAGCTTGCTGGTTGCAGGGATCGGCTTGCCTGCCTTAACTGCAGCATACTCTGGTAGCGACTGTTGCTGCGCTCGCTTGATGTAGAACTCCTCAGAGTCTCGGATCGCTTGTGGCGATAATTCATCAAACTCTCGTTGTGCGGGTGGTACTGAGCAATTCGTAGCGAATCGCACACACCAAGCATGAACACGGCACATTCGTACCCAGTCGGAGTAGCGGCTTGGCTCTAGACGATTCAGCTCGCTGTGGCATTGGTCGACGGTCACCGCAGTCAGCTCGATGGACTCGTCCGTCGGTTGATTGACTGGGCCGATGCAGGTCCAACCTAATGCCGTCCGACGCGCCACGGGCTCATGGCTGTTACCCGAGCGCTCTTCATATGCCATGTGAAGCTCCGGATAGTCGGCACCGATAAGCACGTCAATGTGGCGTTTCGACGGCAGCGGCGGAAACTCAACGTTGGCTAGATGTGCGTACTGCTTTCCCAGGTGGTGCCAGTCTACAACTTCCATGTTGCCTGTTGGCTGCTCGATTGTGCACGCATGGAGAGTCGTCGACGTGGCTCCGTCAACACTTCGCAGAGTGCACGATACTGGCACAGTGTGAATGGTCTCTTGCTGTCCATTCAGCTTGCTGATGGTCAGCGACATGCTTGATCCAATCAGGCCGAGTTCTGCCGTAACATTGCTCGCTATGTACGAGCGCGTGCTGGCGTCGTCCAGCAGCGCGTTAACAGTTAGCGACCGCTTGCCGTTGGATAGCTGAACGGGAACTGTCCGAATCGACGTCACCGTCCGTACTCTATTCTCCTCTCCCTTCGTGCTGTTTCCGAGGGAGACAGCACTGAAGTTCTCCGGCTGCATGGCTCCAGTCTCTCCGGAGGCGTGGGTTGACGATGCTGGAGGCGGTTGACGGGGCTCACTGTGCAGCAGGCGATGGTGATGCTGCGTGCACCCGTTGATACCGCACTCCCGGTCCCGTGGGCAGTCCTTGCCGCTGTGCCCAGTCGCAAGGCATCTATAGCATGACTTGCTTCGCTTCGCTGCTGCCCAGCGCTGGCTTACAGTTTGTTTCTCAAACTCTGGGCAGCGCCAGATCGGGTGCTCGCCACCATTGCAGCATTGGCATGTGGACCTTGCGGTCGGCACGTTGCCAGCGGTGTTTGTAGCTGTCACGAACGTGGTCGTGCGCGGTTGCACAGCGTCGTGAGCAGTTGCCGTCCGAGTCGGCTGATTTCGACTTGTCCCGCTGGTTGACAATTGGTTTCTGACGTGATGCTGCTGGCTGATGCCTTCGATAGTTTCCGTGGCGGCAGCAAGAACTTCTGCCTCGGCATTCAGCCACTCCAGCAGCACCTCGACCGATTCGTCCTTTTGGTGGTGTACTATCCAGCGGCGATACTGGGCCAACAAGTTCACCGGCAGCTTCTGCTGGATCCGCTGGTAGAGAATGCCGGTACCTAGCTCGGTGTGCATACCGGCATCCTTTAACGTCACCACTGCCATGTCGAGCACATCGGTAAAGCGCTCCAGTTCCTGGGCTCTACCGGATCGAATAGGTGGAGATCGTTCCAGCTCTTCCATCCTAACCGCAAGGCGCCGGCGACTCCCACCGAAGCGTCGCTCCAGCCGCCGCAGAGCAGCATCGTATGCTGCTGCCGAGTAGCCGAGACTCTCGATGGCATCCAGTGCCTCACCCGCCACGTACTGTCGGAGCTGCAGCAGCTTGAATTCAGCGGAGAGCGGCTGCTGGTCCACACAAACGCTGAAAGCGGATTTCCAGCGCTCGTATTTTCGCTTTTCTCCGGTGAACACGGCAATTTCGATCCGCTTCAACTTGCTGGCGATGTTGATCTGTGCAGCTGCCGCTGGAGCAGTCCGTGGCGCAGGTCGAGCTGCGGTGCCTCCGACATATGTCGGAACTGGGGCGAATACTGCGGTCTGGGGTGCTTGCATGCCAGCGCTGGGTCTCGCACCGTACTGTGACGCTCCAGTAGAGATGGTGTGCGACGGTCCAGTAGACACAGGTGAGTTGTACATGACTGCACTATTGCTCGCACTCCACTGCGGTTGCTGTTGTTGGTACATGTATGCCTGCTGCGGCCTAGCACTATTGTTGCCATACGTTGCATACATCATACTAGGTGTTTGATCAGCAGGATCGTGGATCAGGAAGGCAGAGCCTTGTTCCTGATTTATAGCAGGAGCGTTGCTGCCCGTGGTCATAGTTGCAAATGACGCTGGCAGCACTGAATTACGTGGCTGGTACTCTGCGGCTGCTGCAGATAAAGCGGTGCATGCATTGCTGTTGATCATATCCGTTTGCGGTGGCGCGTGTGCTGACGCGGTTGCCATGGCAACGGTCGGGAAGGGTTCGGCAGGTTCCCCTACACGCTGACCACTGAACATTACAACACGACTGTCCGGCTCTACTTTCACCCGTTCTCCATAGTCTACAGCCCTGGGCAACATCACCCGCGCATCGTGCTGGCGACCAAGAAACGGTGCATCTTGGAGCGCCGCACGCAGATCTAGAATTTCTCTGCTTTCCTCTCGTACTGACGCCAGTAAAGGCGTTGCCCCTCTCAGTGGCGATCGCTT